GGTTGACCAATTTTAACCAGAGTGTGGAGAAGTAAAAGATTACCCAAATCTCATCTCGGCATGCTGCGGTGTTGTGGGTAAAAAAGATGTTGACCCTCTCCACACGACATGTTTATTAGGAGTGGGCTGGCAATGAATATTTATGTAAATAAACATATACAAGAAACAGGAGTTACAGTACAAACATAAACAAGTTGACAGTTTTCTTTGTTGACAGTTCTAATTCAATAATTAGAGTTCACAGGTCACGGAATTCGCAGTTCACAGAGTTCAAGATGTCTATGGAGATCCGCCATGTTAGAAAGCATGGGTTTTCACGAAATTAAAGTTCACTTTCCCCGGAGGAATTATAAAGTTAATCACAGTCGTTCACCATTCACTTAAGTATCACAATTGTCCTAAAAACATAGTTACCAAACACCACCTCTGAGACAGGGAAAAAAACAGTATCGACACGGCATTGTAACATGCTTAAGGGTGAATCTTGCGTTTTGATTGGTGGATTAGACACTGTCGATTGGACAATATATAACACCCCTCTGTTTTAGCAAGGCGAATAACTGCGTATATAAATATTACAGTGTACTTTTTTTTCATTTTGTGCTCAGCCATCTTCCTCAACTCAAATCTTTTATTGACAAATATCTTCAAGAAATTCTGCTCAAATGACTATCACACTATTTTCAAACTTCATCCAAACACATCTCTGAAATATATTAAACAGAAGAAAATCAGTCATAAACAGGCATCATAAATTATTCGTAACTAAGCAGTGTGGACAATTTTGTTTTATTTTTTTGCACTCTGCAGTGTTTACTTTAAAGTGTGGACAATTTAAATCAAAGTTTGCCCAAATTCTGAATAACATGATCCGCCTGATAATGAGTCATTAGTCTCAAGAAATTGTTTGAAAATATAGTCACTAGGGGAGGTGAAATAGCAGCTGATTTGGGCATAGGATAACGAGAAATTATGCTAAAATTGACAATGACAATGATTGACAACACGTCAGAACGATATACATATCACATAGTTTTATAGGGTATTCTGAGGGGTGTATGCAAGAACTGCTCTTCTCTGAACAAGAACTAGCAATAAAATTGTGTTGACGGTCTGCAAATAAAATAATAAAGGCTAAAAACTCGCCCATGTTAAAGTTATCAAAACTTCGAAAGTGTTGCCAAGAGTTATCCCTGTGTAGTTTCGGTTAACAGGCCATAACTAATTCATTCACGACTGGCACTACCGGTCAAAAAGGCCACACTAAGGCTAATTTACTAATCTTTTTAAAAATCTTCAAATGTTAAAAATATTTTATTTGAAATATCCGAATAGCATTTTCTTTCATAATTTATTTACCAGCGACCCAATTTTCTTACCCGGAAATGCTTTTTTTCTTTCAGAACTCTGTTAGACCATCCAATTTTCTTACCCGGAAATGCTTTTTTTCTTGCAGAACTCAGTTAGACCACCCAATTTTCTTACCCGGAAATGCTTTTTTTCTTGCAGAACTCAGTTAGACCACCGAATTTTCTTACCCGGAAATGCACTTTTTCTTGCACTTTTTTCGGCTGGCAGACTCACCCCACCCCCCAGTTGCTGTTTGCAATTTTTTTTACAGTTGCCCCCTGTGTGGACATATATTGCCGTCGCCCCTGTCCGTCCACAATTGTTTGTGGACACTTTACAGGTCAAAATTCTTATCTGATTTTGACGAAACTTGAAATATAGGTTTATCTCCAAAAGATCTTGGTTGCGATCGATATTGGCATGTATCGGACCGAAACTTCATGGATTATGGCCCCTGATTGTACGAAAAATCACGTTTTTAGCTTGTGGACCCTATAGAGGTCACAATTTTTATGAAATGTAAGTTTATAACCCAAAGATCTCGGTTCCTTTCGATACTCGCGCATATCAGATCGTAACTTCCTAAATTATGGCCCCTGATTGTACGAAAAATCGCGTTTTTAGCTTGTGGACCCTATAGAGGTCATAATTTTTATCCAATTTAAAAAAATGTTTTAGTATATCACTGTTACATCCTAAGGATGGTTGAGTTCGAATTTTGTGAAAATCGGCCCAAAACTGACAGACGAAATGGCCGTCCCTCGTTCTTAAATAGCGTAAAGATATGCCCCCTGATTGTACGAAAAATCACGTTTTTTAGCTTGAGGTTCCTCTAGAGGTCACAATTATTATCTGATTTAAAAAAAAAACCTTTGAATATATCATCTTTACACCCTAAGGATGGTTGGGTTTGAATTTTGTGAAAATCGGACCAAAACTGACAGACAAAATGGCCGCCCCTTGTACTCAAATAGCGTAAAAAATATGGTATATCAAGGTTGTGGACCCTCTAGAGGTGACAATTTTCTTCTGATTTTGATGAAACAGGAAATGTAAGTTTATAACCCAAAGATCTTGGTTCCTTTCGATATCTGAGCACATTGGATCGTAACTTCCTGAATTATGGCTGGGGGGTTGGATGGCTGAATGGTTAGCGTGCGCGCACTGTATCATAAAGTCTGTCATTGAGTCGACTGGCGTGGTTTCGAATCCCCGGTGGCAAGGAGTAGAGTCGCCTGTCCAACCTCGTGGGTTTTCTTCGGGTCCTCCGGTTTCCTCCCCCTGCTAAAGACCCCTACGTGCAAGCGAATTATGTAAATAAAATTAAACCATAGGTTAGTCCCGAAATGACCTAGTTTGTGTCGAGTGGACGTTAAACCCCATTTCTCTCTCTCTCTGAATTATGGCCCCTGATAGTACGAAAAATCACTTTTTGTTTAGCTTGTTCTCTATCCATCTCTTGCAAAATGTGGGCATATCCTGCCTGGCAGCCGCTGTTTTTTTTTATTATTGGCACTAGATGTTTCTACTAACAAGCTGTTACATTAGTTAATCTTTCAAAGAACATACAAGTGTAGCAGCTACTTTCTCAAGTGTAGCAGCTACTTTCTGGCTAATCAAGTGTCTTATATGGCCAATGTTCCTGGATGACCTGGCGCCTGGTACGTTCGGGCATTTTTATGCGCGAACTCTTAGTTTTTTTTTACTGGCATGCGCACAGGTACTATTTCTTTTTCTTTTAACAAGTACCCAAATCGGGGATTTTGTGCGGAGGTAGTTCGGAGGTAAACAGTCTGTGAAGTACAACATTTGCCACTGTACCTGTGTATCGCTAATTATAAACCGAATGTGTGAAGACAGTTCATACATATCACTCAAAAATTTTTCAGTACAAACTCAGTTGATTCACGCTCGATTTGCTACTAAACAAACTCATCGGTTTATTTTCTCAACAGTGTGACCCGAAGTGACCGCGGATTTATTGACCTTGTATGAACTTATCCATAGCTATATCCTTACACCGAGAGAAATTATCTAGTCTCGGTGAAAAGAACCATGGTCATCTGGTAGAAAATTACTTTTGTATTTTTTGGAACGGAAAACAGTGTTTTTAGAAGCAAACTAACCTGCCGCACTTGAGGAAGTCATTATACTAATAATAAAAGGCGAGACCTCTTTTTGCGGCGCAGGCTTATCACTGAGTAGTAAACCGTCCACAAACAATAATATAGGAAGCCTAGTGACGAGTGTAGTAAGTAGACTATAGGTTTGAGTCGAGATTACTCGCTTTCAGTTTACTCTGTTTTTGCGATAACCAATTATGTGAGAAATACCATACTGACATTCGGTTTTTAAAAGTTGTACACGAACTAAATGCGTTTGTTAGATACTGACAGAGCAGCCCCGAGTCGAACAATCGCCGCCAGAGCTGTCTTCGTCAGCTAGTTTCACAATATCGTGCAATAGGTGTATTAATGTGATTTTTAGGTTTAACCCCGCAAACAATGCCAAAATAGTGTTTTCACTGCTTACAGAAAAAACCTCCCACACACTCCCTATCGAGCTGCCGCTCGGTCTGCGCAGCCTCATGCCTGGCACATACTGTCAACATTGTATATTTTTCCGTTTCCGCCCTTCCCCCCCACAATATATATTTCACGGCTACGTTGCGACGGTACCAGCATACCCAGTTGTTGACACCCATTACATCACTCCTGTCTAACAAATCATAAAGCTGTGGTGTTATGGTGGCGGCATAGTATTTCACCGTAACACCACAGCCACTCTAACCATTCATAATACATCTAACTATCCCTTTACAGCACTTCACTCCCTACACATTTCCCCTCGTCCTACTTTCCCAAACGTCAACAACACATCTCATACATCCAGTTCGCTGATTAACCCTTGTACCACGTCTACTGGATTGAAGATAACATTTTCAACATGCTTAAATAAGTTAAATTGAATCCTGTGAGGACACCCAAGTTCTTCACAGTGTCTAATGGTACAAGTATTGCATCTCCTACAACCACATTGTTTGTACTATTTTGTAAAAACTAAATATTAGTATTACCGGTAGTAGTCCTCAACTTCCATTATTAATAGAATTGTTCTCAGCCCTGCAATGTGTGAGATATAGCATCATGAAAATTATGTTTTAGCATATAGCAAAAGCTATGTCTCAAAATAAATTCCTTGTGGCCTCAAATGGTTTCGGAAAAATTTAATAGTCATATATATTGAAGTAGTAGACAGGATCATTCATAAAAAATAATTTAAAAAAAACCCAAAAAAAACCCAAAAGGCAATTTATGGGAAATATTTGAATTTTTTTTTGTTTAAAAAAGTATGTTTTTTTTAACTCAAAAATGGCTATAGCTGGTTATCCGTAACTACAAGGTTGGTGACCCTTATATTTCATGTGGTGTATATGGGGTACTGAATGACCAAATCTTGAAAGTTTGGTCAACATCGCCCGACAACGCTTGTGCCGCTACTTTTAAATTTTGCATGGTTCTCTTGCAAACCCATTCTTAAATACCCAGTCCTAAACCCTTTTTATTGATTATCTCACTAAAAGGATCTCAATACACTGAAAGAGTAAGCTACCTCTATTTATCATTTATGAACCATTAACCTTTTTTCAGCCGACAAAAGATGGATTTAGATGGTCAGCACCAAGGTAAGTATTATTATTATTGTCCCCCGCCTTTCGAAAAAAGCAGGGGACTATTAAAATGGGTTCGTCTGTCTGTCTGTCCGTCACACTTTTTGGGACACAATAACTCTCTTTCTAATTGAGCTAGAATGTTCAAACTAGGCCAATGCCTTGATGGAGTCTGAAGATGAGCATTTTCTGCTTAGGCTAAGCAGAGATAAGCAATTTGATTGGTTGATGCTTTGGGACACAATAACTTGAGTTCTAATTAAGTAAGAGTGATGAAACTTGGTGTATAGTTTCATTACATCAATACCTTGACTAAGTTCGATAAAGAGCATGTTCTGCTCAGGGTAAGCAGAGCGATAAGCAATTTGATTGGTTGAGACCTTGGAACACAATAACTCTCATTCTAATTGAGCTATAATGTTCACACTTGGCGTAGGTGTTTTTTAGGTGAATGCCTTGATCGAGTTTAATGATAAACATTGTCTGCTTACGGTCAGCAGAGATAAGCAATCTGATTGGTTGATGCTTTGGGGCACGATAACTTTGGTTTTTATAAAGTGAGAGTGATGAAACTTGGTGTATAGATTCATTATATCATTACCTTGACTAAGTTTGTTGATGAGAATTTTCTGCTTAGGCTAAGGATCGATAAGCAATTTGATTGGTCAAGACTTTTGAACATAACAACTCTGCTTTTAATTGAGGTAGAATGTTTAAACTTGATGTAGATGTTCATTAGGTGAATGTCCTGACTGAGTTCAATGATTAACATTTCGAGCTAAAGCTTAGCAATTTCATTGGTCAATGCTTTGGGACAAGATAACTTTGATTCTATCAGATAGAGAGTGGTGAAACTTAGTGGATAGATGATAATTTCTTTGATTGCTTGATACTTTTGAAAAAAATAAATTGTCGATTAATGAATATGTATCATCTATTTATTTTGGTATTTTGGCGGGGGACATCAGCCTCACTGTTGGCTTGTTATTATTTGACATGCACATTGATTGAGGGAGAAATACTTATTGTCTTCTCCCTCTGTTTGATTTAATTACTCACAATATTTTTATGTACTGACACAAGTAAGGAATACTTACCAGGTAACTTAGATACTCGCATTATGAATATTACTGACCATTTTTAGGAAAATTGATGTATGGTTCAGGTACTAATGAGTTTAAGCAGCTACTGACAACCTGTATATTTCTCATGTGTTTCAAAACTTTCCATGTATTGTAAACAAAATATACAATTTCTACTTGCTTTCAGGACTTCTCACAAACTACCCCAGTTACTACATACCGGTACTGTAGGATCGATTCTCCAAACTATGCATCTTACAGTGTGAGGGGGTCCACAATCTTGGTATTACGTAATTTCTTTTCGTTTTTGATGAAACTTAAATTAAAATGTATGTTTATACCCCAAAATTCTGGGTTCCTTTCGATACTTGTGTGTATTGGACTGTAACTTCCTGGATTAGGATTTTTTTTTTTTTTTTTTTAGCTTGTTCTGTCCATTGTGAAAAACATTGGAATCATAACTGTCATTCTGAGTTATCCTTCCTTTTCCGAAACCCCTGTTAATGCTACAGAGGATAAAGTTTAGTGCTCTGTTAAACATATGGAATTGTTTTGTTTTTTTTTACAGTAAACAAGGATTATTATCACATCAGTTTCATAAAGCTGGTGTATTTTACTTCTCAGACCAAAATTTTGATGAAGCAGCCGAATATATCGGAACAATTATTGTCAAACCTAAACAAAAAGAACACATTGTAAATCTTACAGAAAAGGGATTTATACCAGGTAATTTACATCTATTTTGAATAATCTTTATATTGACAATTAAATCTATGCTTGTAGACATAATAGCATGCTCCTAAGGGTTAGCCCAGTACTTTAAATGATTCATATGACGAAAAAGTCAATTTGAATTTGATTACCGGTATGCTTTATTTCTTGTAGATTTACTGTATGCATATACCGGTGATAGAGTATGGTGGACATGGAATGGAGATTCTGTAACAGATCTCATAGAAAATCTACTTATTGTAGAAGAAGATAAATGTTTAAACCCTGCAGCCAAAAATAAGCCTGCATCCCCAATATCGGAAGGTATAATATATTAGAAATAAGTTGTTTTAGGAAAAAAAACTAGGTTATTGCGAGTATTTTCCGCTTTATTAAGCTTCTTCAGGCAAACTTTACCAATTCCAACTAACCTAGTTTTTTTTCCAAAAACAACTTTATTTCTAATATCTAACACCTAAGAGTAGCTTCAATTATAACCTTTCACTATATTTAGGGGGGTTGGATGGCTGAATGGTTAGCGTGCGCACACTGTATCATAAAATCTGTCATTGAGTCGACTGGCGTGGTTTTGAATCCCCGGTTGTACATGACATGGAGTAGGGTCGCCTGTCCAACCTCGTGGGTTTTCTCCGGGTCCTCCAGTTTCCTCCCACTGCTAAAGACCCCTATGCGCAAGCAAATTATTGAAATAAAATTAAACCATATTATGTTAGTCCCGAAATGACCTAGTTTGTGTCGAGTGGACGTTAAACCCCATTTCTCTCTCTCTCTCTCTCTTTCACTATATATAAATATATATATATATACCGCTAGCTGTTAAATTAATATTTTGGTGTCTTTCTTTAATTTAATATATATATATATATATATATATATATAAGTAAAATTTATGTTGGCGAAATGAAACTACATAATTTGTGCTAATGTTTTCACAACCGAAGTTGCTCTTCAGGCATTTATTATAAAATTAATTATAAACATTAACTATTATGACGTCATAACGTCATGGTTACATTAAGAATATTCTACAAGGGCGTTTGTTTAGTAGCTTATAGACTACAAACATTTAATACATTCATTTTATTCCCATTAATCATTCCTTATGGGAATTAAGTTTTGGGTGATATTTTTCAATAAAATAGCTTTCTTTTACCTCTAAAAGGTCATTATTATTGCTATTAACTCTATACATAAGGAAGACCCTAAATTTGCTCCCAACACATACTTCAAGATGCTCACTGATTGGAATCATCCTGTATTTGGTTTGAAGTATGTGTTGTCTGTGGAGATTCATTCTTAACCTTAGCATCATTTGGGTTTTCCCTATGTAAGTTCCCTCTGGACATATTATGAGATAGATCACGTAGTCTGATTGACAATTCATGGGTTGTTTAACATAAAATGTACAATCCGCATTTCTCTTAATGGTTGATCCTTCAAAGATGATTTCACATGTTTTGCATCTAGGGTCATTGCATTTTGTTACAGCTGGTACTGGGCTGCATGTACGACACGCAATAGCACCATACACGTGGGAGGGGTTCATTGTCAAATTTGACACTTCAAGGAAGGGTTGATGAAAACTGCCGCTTGCTGGTTTATCCTATTCATGTTTGCTTTCCAATCAGTTCTTGCATAAGATTTACTGTTTAGCGTATCTTTGCTTTAGTGTGTTACATTTAATTTGATTGGAGACGTGTTCGTCAACGTCAACCGACAACACTGCAACAATTGGCCGTGGCACTGCAAGAGGAGTGGGTCAGATTGCCCGGTTGATTAGGAGCATGCCCGGTTGATTAGGAGCATGCCACGACGAATTGCTGGATGTCTGAGGATTGGTGGAGCAATTACTCATTATTAAGACAAAAATCAAAAACGTCCATTTCACTTTTGACAGTGTATCTCTTTGTGAGTGAAATGGGGCCATCAGATAAGCCGCCCATATGAGCTGTTTATGTTCATCTGTAGGCAATCGACCTGTTATTAACATACACTGGTTACCTCTAATAAAAATAGCAGTGCATTTCTGCAGTTTTGTATTGTTTCTCAATATCCCCTACTTTTTTTGAAGAATAAAAGGTATGCCAATAGGAACTGATTTCAACACTGGTTTAATAACATTTTAACATTTTAAAGTAATTTTCGTCTGTCTTCGGACTATTCATAAATGATGCATTGTATAGAGATGGACACTATAGTATATTTATACATATGTCCATTCACAGTTTGTTTGTGGACACACTACAGGTCACAAAGTTTATCAAATTTTGAAGAAACTTGAAATATAGGTTTATATCCCAAAGTTCTCGGTTCCTTTCAATATTGGCATGTATTGGACTGTAACTTCATGGATTATGGCCCCTGATTGTATGAAATTTTAGCTTGTGGGCACTCCAGAGGTCACAATCTTCATCCAGTTTTTATGAAACTTAAAATATATGTTTATAACACAAAGATCTCGGTTCCTTTCGATATTCGTGCATAGTTGACTGTAACTTCCTGGATTATGACTCCTGATTGTACAAAAAAATCGCAATTTTAGTTTGTAAACCCTCTTGTGTTCACAATTTTTATCTTATTTTAAAAAAGCTTTTTAATATATCACCATTACACCCATATAAGTTATTGTGGGGTTATAATCACTTTTGGTCTATAAATTTATTTTTCTCTATCATAAGAAATATCATAATGAATTTTTCACTAGATGTCCTAGTTAATATCTTTGACATTAATATTATGGTTTAGATTTGTACCATGTATTAGATGGGGAATCAGCAGGATTAATGACAAGAGTTGGATTAGCTACCAATCATTTCACAACTATTGGTGTCTATCATTATCGTATAGCTGAAACTGATGAGAGTGTTAATACTTGTTCTATTATTATAAACCCAGGATCAAAGGTATACACCATTATTATTTATATTATAAGTGGGCATATTGTCGTCACCCCATCCAATAAGTATTGCCAGAGTTATGGCCCTAGATCACTGTGAAAAATCTTGTGGCTAAAGTTATAATCCGATTGACTTGAAATTGATACCCAGTGTTTCAGGTCATGAGACATAATTTCTGATAACTACCTTGTGAATGTTCTAACGACAATTATTATCATCCCATCTGTATGAAATTTATGTGCATCCTTTAAATTAGTGAAATGAAGAAGCTTGTTGAATTTCAGCAATTCTGTTAATTATGTTTAGAGTAATGGCACTTTGTCGAACCCTCTGAATGCTCAAACGACAAAAGTTTGTCAGATACAGATCCCATCTGTATGAAATTATGTGTTATTTAGATTAGTGAAACAAAGAAGCATACTGAATTTCAGCAATTTCCATTGAATTTCAGTAATTTCTGTTTATTGCTGCTAGAGTTATGGCCCGTGTTTCACTTTGTTATCATCAGATCTGTATGAAATTTATATGAAACTAAGAGACAGAGAGAAATAAAAAACTACCGAGAACAAATTGCAAAAGAATTTCATTCACTGGAATCTAGTAAAGGGATGTCTAAAGGACTCCCAACTCAAAATTGTCCGCTGAAACCCTGTAGCGTTTTTCATAATAAGCATAAATCCAAGATGGCCTCCAATTGGACTTTTTGTCCTCCATATCTTGGAAACGGCTCGTTTTACAGCAATAAATGTATTATCATTCGAGTGAATCTGGAAATTGTCTATATAAAGCTTTTTTTAGGATTGATAATTTTGGTGTCTAAACGTATGTAACTCGGGTCAAGGAATACACTGAAATCATTCATTATGTTGTGGGGTGATTAGATGATAGTAAAATCTAAAATGCCAGACAATATGGCCCTCTACACTACAAGATGCATAATGTGTAGAACTGGTGTCACACCTTATAATAACGGGCTTCTGCGTTAGAATATCCATTAAGCAAGTAGAAAAGCTTAATTTTGGTTACTATTCATGGAAACTTGTGATAAATATACGTGTTGTCAGTAGTCGCTTAAATCCGTCAGTACTTGCACCGTACGTCAGTATTCCTATAAATGGTCAGTAATAATCACAAGGTGAGTATTTAAGTCAATTGATTATTATTCCTTAACTGTGTCAGTATACAAAAATAACGTGACTAATTAAACAAACGTGAGTTTATCCGAACATATCACTAATCAGACGCGTGTGGGAGAAATTGGAAAAAGCGTGACTAATTAAGAAACCGTCAGTATTTAGGCTACCACTTACTACCTGAGTGAAACCGCCAGTTATCTTTGATGTGCGTCAGTAAGTGGAACCGTCGCCAGTAGAGCGTGAAATCGTTAACTGTATAAATTTCTCGTGAGTATTGGTACTATAAGTGATTATAAGTATCCTGAATAAATTAATTATTATTTATTAATATTCTCGAACTGGAGCAAATTTTTTAAACAATAATGAATTGCAGTGAACAAAGGGACTATTGTCGACGATTTCGATTACCGTCGTAGTTTGCAAAAGACACCGAAGATGGTTAGATAGATCTATCTAATATAAATACCTTCATATTTAAATATGAATTTAAATGCTCAGTGGCAAGGTTTGATTCGTCGCACTATTTGTACCGCTCCCGTTCTTACAACGGCTTCCCCATGCAGAATACGGCGCAATGTGTATTGTTATTTAATTTACAATTGATATTTTTCCTCGTTATATGCAGATTGGCACATGTTTTGGGGCAGGCGGCACTTTGTTATCTGTATGGATTATTAAATTTGGAATGACAACTAATGGTTAAAAAAATCATCAACACCAATCTGTTGTCGCTAATTTTATTGAAACAGATAATATGATAGCAGATAATATTAAATTTCATACATATACATATATACAAGCTGAAATTCTGAGCACTGAAGAATCGTGTGAATTTCTATTTACATTTGAGAAATAGTAACTATCAAACAATATATATATAACTTTGCAAATAGTAATAACATACAATAAGGCACGATATACAATGTTAAAATACAATATGATCGTACGTTAGAGAAAAAAATGAATTTCATACATACAAGTTAACCGAAATTATGAGAACGGAAGAGTCTATTACACGATAAATATAACTAATACATTGCATGCAACGGTAAAATAGTAAAACCATGTACAACGTTCGATGTGCGTCAGTAAGTGGAACCGTCGCCAGTAGAGCGTGAAATCGTTAACTATATAAATTTCTCGTGAGTATTGGTACTATAAGTGATTATAAGTATCCTGAATAAATTAATTATTATTTATTAATATTCTCGAACTGGAGCAAATTTTTTAAACAATAATGAATTGCAGTGAATAAAGGGACTATTGTCGACGATTTCGATTACCGCTGTAGTTTGCAAAAGACACTGAAGATGGTTAAATAGATCTATCTAATATAAATACCTTCATATTTAAATATGAATTTAAATGCTCAGTGGCAAGGTTTGATTCGTCGCACTATTTGTACCGCTCCCGTTCTTACAACGGCTTCCCCATGCAGAATACGGCGCAATGTGTATTGTTATTTAATTTACAATTGATATTTTTCCTCGTTACATGCGGATTGGCACATGTTTTGGGGCAGGCGGCACTTTGTTATCTGTATGGATTATTAAATTTGGAATGACAACTAATGGTTAAAAAAGATCATCAACACCAATCTGTTGTCGCTAATTTTATTGAAACAGATAATATGATAGCAGATAATATTAAATTTCATACACATACATATATACAAGCTGAAATTCTGAGCACTGAAGAATCGTGTGAATTTCTATTTACATTTGAGAAATAGTAACTATCAAACAATTATATATAACTTTGCAAATAGTAATAACATACAAAAAGGCACGATATACAATGTTAAAATACAATATGATTGTACGTTAGAGAAAAAAATGAATTTCATACATACAAGTTAACCGAAATTATGAGAACGGAAGAGTCTATTACACGATAAATATAACTGATACATTGCATGCAACGGTGAAATAGTAAAACCATGTACAACGTTCGATCTTGGAATATCTCTCTTGTGCGAAATTACAAAAAAAACCCAAAAAACACACACATTTATAACTACACTATATTACATATTCAAAACTGAGACAATTCAAAACACAAGAAATTACGAACACTATAGCAAAACTTTTGTTAAAATATTTTCAACAATTAGAGAGCATTTCTATGTCTTAAAATATCCGAAATTTGCTATTGAGTTCTTCTACAATAGTCACGCCGATTAACAAATTTTCGTTTAATGATACAGTTTATCAATAAACTTACCAGAAATTGATATAATTAATGATTTTACGCTCTACTGACCCAATCAACATTCTTAATCTGTTGAGAATGTTGATTGGGTCTCTTAATCTAATGGTGTGTCCTCACTGTGCCCACTTTTGATTAATCCAATTAAAGTCTAATTAGGATTAGTGGATTAAGCTGATTAGGATTAGGTGTTATAGGTAATTACCGGTAGATGGAAAAAAAAAACAAATATTTTATGTAATTTTTTTTTTATTTTTCGATGTTTTATATATATTTAGTTCTGACCTCGGCAACACAGTTCTCACAGCATTTTGCATACTAACTTCGAAATCTGTAAACACATGGCCTGGGTTAAGATTAACATTGACAAGTGCCCATGTTTTGTCTCTAACACATCTGAGGAACTCAACATATGTTGCCTCCTTCTTATCGGGTAATAGTGCATACACCAAAGGGAACATTTTTGTCCCCCGCCTTTCGAAGAAAGCAGGGGACTATTAAAATGGGTTCGTCCGTCTGTCTGTCTGTCTGTCTGTCTGTCCGTCTGTCTGTCCATCTGTCTGTCCGTCTGTCTGTCCGTCACACTTTTTGGGACACAATAACTCTCTTCCTAATTGAGCTAGAATGTTCAAACTTGGTGTATGTGTTTATTAGGTCAATGCCTTGATGGAGTTCGAAGATGAGCATTTTCCGCTTAGGGTAAGCAGAGATAAGCAATTTGATTGGTTGATGCTTTGGGACACGATAACTCTCTTCCTAATTGGGCTAGAATGTTCAAACTTGGTGTATGTGTTGATTAGGTCAATGCCTTGATGGAGTTCGAAGATGAGCATTTTCCGCTTAGGGTAAGCAGAGATAAGCAATTTGATTGGTTGATGCTTTGGGACACGATAACTTTTAATTGAGCTAGAATGTTCAAACTTGGTGTATGTGTTTATTAGGTCAATGCCTTGATGGAGTTCGAAGATGAGCATTTTCCGCTTAGGGTAAGCAGAGATAAGCAATTTGATTGGTTGATACTTTGGGGCACGATAACTCTCTTCCTAATTGAGCTAGAATGTTCAAACTTGGTGTATGTGTTGATTAGGTCAATGCCTTGATGGAGTTCGAAGATGAGCATTTTCCGCTTAGGGTAAGCAGAGATAAGCAATTTGATTGGTTGATGCTTTGGGACACGATAACTTTAGTTCTAATTAAGTGAGATTGATGAAACTTGGTGTATAGATTTATTATATGAATACCTTAACTAAGTTCGATAATGAACATTTTTTGCTGAGGGTAAGCAGAGTGATAAGCAATTTGATTGGTAGAAACTTTGGAACACAATAACTCTCCTTCTAATTGAGGTAGAATGTTCAAACTTGGCATAGGTGTCTATTAGGTGAATGTTTAAACTTGATGTATATGTAGATGTTCATTAGGTGAATGTCTTGACTGAGTTCAATAATTAACATTTCGAGCTGAAGCTAAGCAGAGCTAATCGATTTCATTTGTCGATGGTTTGGGAGAAGATAATCTTGATTCTATCTGATAGAGAGTGATGAAACTTAGTGAAAAAAATAAATGTGCGATTAATTAATATGTGTCATCTATTTATTTTGCAATTTCGGCGGGGGACATCAGCCTCACTGTTGGCTTGTATTGTGTACAAAAGCATGTATA